GCTAACTTTTGCGCTATCTGGCTTATCTTGCCTTTGAAAAGACTCTAACTTGAGCTTCAGAGCCCTTACGCCGGGTTCTCCCCGGAGCTTCTTCACTCCCTCCGTTTCAGGTCCCCCGCCACCCAGCTCAGAGGCAAGATCGTTAACAGTTAAAACCGGCCGAATTGTACATCAATAACCGATGAAATTCGGATATGGATTGAATTGGGAAGAAATCAGCTTGCCTCCCGTACGATATCCGATAATCGGATTTCTTTTTTGGTTATACGATATCCGATCATTCCGATTTCAGAAGTACAAACATGAAATGAAACACCCCATTTATTGTTTATTTTTCTTGGCGTTTTTTGATAATTGTACATGCATGGGTGACTATTGGTAGTATTATTTAAATAAAGAAGGACATACATGCAATTAATACAAGTTGTCGTTGTTTTTGTAGTATTTAAATTAAACAGTAGTTTCCATCTCCTAAAAACCGTAGTTTCCATTACAGGAATGACCGAATGAAGAAAGGGTTGAAGATTAGAACTGCAGACCTCTGCTAGATCCCTGATCCTCTCTCTCTCCTCTCCCGAGTAATATCGGCCAACCCCATTTTGATCCCAGAACGGTTTCGACAAATAACGAGATTTCGTTTTGTAAAGTAGATATATCGGACCCTTAATTATTCTTTCCCCCACAATCGATCAATCCAACCGAGTTCTTAGACACGATTTGATTCCAACAAATTCTCATTATTGCCTATCTTGATCGATAGGTAAATAGTTCATTCTTATAAACATGTCCAAGTGTTTCTGTTCTAGGGTTTTCGATCTCAATTCAGGTATCGGCTTCCTTGATGCTTCTTATTTTCTTCTATTGGTTTCCGATCCCACTTCGGGTATCGGCTTCCTTGATGCTTCTCATTTTCTTCCATTGCTCACTCCCAGAGTTTCTTAGCAGGTATTACCTTTGGAATTCGAACCGATCTCTGTTCTGAATCCTTTCCCATTTGTTTTCCTTTCGTGACCTCCGTAGCTTTGGTCGTGTTTGATCAGTAATAGCTCGTCTTTTTCGTTCTAGGTTTGTGGAAGTCGCGATTCACTCCTGCTAAGACTGTTTTTTATCTTGCAATCGGTTTTTCCAATTTGAGGCTGATCGCTGTGTAATGCAATCTAAGAAGAGGAAGAACCTAAAACGTGTTCGATCATTCCCCTCCGACATGCCTTTAACTGATAATACCGCTGCTCAAACACATGACGATTGCTTCCTTTTCCCAGTAGAAGAGATTGTCCAGTATCCGCTGCCTGGCTATGTCGCTCCTTCTTCCATCAGTTTCAGTCCCGATGATAGTTTGATCACTTATTTGTTCAGTCCAGATGGCACTTTGAATAGGAAAGTTTTTGCTTTCGATCTCGGGACCTGTAAACAAGAACTGGTTTTTAGTCCTCCCGATGGAGGGCTCGACGAGAGCAACATATCCCCAGAAGAGAGGCTGAGGAGGGAGAGGCTAAGAGAGCGCGGATTGGGGGTCACACGATACGAATGGGTCAAGTCTAGATCCAAAAAGAAAATGCTTATGGTGCCTTTGCCTGCTGGGGTTCGTTCTCTAATCTCACATATTCATTGTGCAATTAGTCATGGCAATTTGATCACAAGTCCTGCAATTTTTCAATATTTTGACCTTCATTATATACGAGGCAATTGTGCTTGTTTTGGACCTTTTGATACTTTAGTAGCTAATACTTGGAGAGTTTAACAAGGTATATTCGCATCAGAGGGGAAAACCTGGCTTCCCCAGCTCTGCCATATGCATGACGGACTACTAAGCGGATCGAGACCACCAATAAATGGGTCCCGCTACGATGATTCTCCTCAACTTAAGCATATGGTTGCCATAACTGCACAATTCAGACAAAGCTGGGCAAACCTTTTTGCACCATCAATATGTGCGTTTGTCACCTAGACTAAAACGACTCTCTGATATTGTCTTTCACTTTTCAACTCTAGCAAGATACTGAATTTCATTTCTCCCATGTAGTTGCTTCAGCTTTGGATGGTTGGAATGAACTTATCCCATTAACCTGGGTCATAAGCTAAAAGTCTTTTCTTCTTTTTTTTTTCTTTTTTTTTTTGTTTTCCAGACCTACTTTTTATCTTATTGGACCATGCAATAGAATGTAATAGGTAGATGAGAGGGACATTTCATAGGGTTCACTTTCTGGGTTTCTTATACCTATTGGATGGTCAAGTAGAAGACTGGGATATATTGGTTAGGAGATCCTTACATACTTAGCGCACTCCAATTGATCAAGGTAAGAAAACAAACTGCATTTCCAACTGGAACAAGCATTCCTAGGATATAAAATGGCAAATGTTGCGGTTATGTTTGGAAAACAACAGGGCCCAGTTTGGATACATTGTAGAGAAATTGAAATGCCTGGAAATATTTGAGAAATACCTCGTCTGCATGGTTCACAATGGAATTGATGTTTTCACATATTTCCATATCTTTGCACAATTTCTGTTAGTGTATCTTGCTTTTTCTCCATTTCCAGTGTTATTTGAAATTTGTAGGGTTGTGTACAAATTTCCATATTCCATTCTTTCTTACATAAATTTCCCTCCCTAGTAACTTTTATTTGAAAGAAACTAGTACTTACATTTGTTTTCCCACATGTACAAGAGATAAACATGCTTCATTGCAAGCTTTATCCTAGAAGATTGAATTTCTTTATGGAGCTCTATCTTGGTGTTGTATGTGGTCCTCGGGTTTCTCTTTCTCCACCCCATTTTTATCCTTTTGGAATTGATGGTTGTGGTCCAAGTTCCCAGCAATGGAACATGAAAAAGGAAAAGTGCTGGAATGTGTATGCTTTATTAGTCTCTCCTAGACATTGAAGAAAAATAATGCAGTGACAAGGAACCCATTAGGCAAGGTGTCAGATATGGATTTACACTAAACATTGAAGTATCTGACGTGAAGGCACTCTTGTATAGGAATCTGGGTATCATGGATGAACAGCCTTTCTCTTACCTAATTGATATTTATTGATTTATTCATATGTTGATGCTTTCATCGTCACAGAAATGATAAAATGACATGATTTCAAAATGCTGATTTGCTCATTAATGTATTTTTTGTGTTTTGAAGAGTTAAAATATCAAATTTGTTTCTTAAGTAAACCAGATAGGATATGATGCTGATATGCTTTTATACTTCTTTTTTTTTTTTTTTTTTGAGAAAAAGTAAAGTATAATTGTATTAAAGCAAAACAGGTCCTTTGGACAATGAGAAGCTAGCTGTTAAAGAAGGACCTCAAAGAAAAGACCATCCTCAAAAAAGTATCAAATTTGTTTCTTAAGTAAACCAGATAGGATATGATGCTGATATGCTTTTATACTTCTTTTTTTTTTTTTTTTTTGAGAAAAAGTAAAGTATAATTGTATTAAAGCAAAACAGGTCCTTTGGACAATGAGAAGCTAGCTGTTAAAGAAGGACCTCAAAGAAAAGACCATCCTCAAAAAAGTACTATTAAAAGTATCATCTTTAAACACAGTATGTGTACACAACCAACTTCTAATAACCCCTATAGCCAAATTGATGACCTTGGCTTCAGAGAAGCTTTGTGCTCAAAAGTCCTATTGTTCCCTTCTAACCAAACAGCCCACAGATTTGCCAATGGAATGGAGGACCAGCACACTTTCCCTTTCTTGGTCAAACCAGATCATAGTTTTCAAGGCACCAAGGCGAGGCGAGGCAACAGGGGGGCGCCTTGTTGCGTAGTCGCCTAGGCGATGGATTTTTTTTTAAGTAAAAACCACATGTCCTAGGGTAGTTCCCTAGGTTCCATAACCATCTTTCCTTAATAACTATCCATAATTTTCATAAGAAAATTATAAACTTCATGTTTAAGTCTAGAAAATCAATATATTTATGAGAAGAAAAAAAAAGAAAGAAAAGAAACTTCAAAAAGTTTAGGGGCTGAACCCCTACTTTTTTTATAGGAAAAGAAGAACAAAAAATATAGGGGCTGAACCCCTTTTTTTATTATAGGAAAATAAGAAAAGAAAAGGTGGAAGAAATGTGTTGATTAGACAATTTTAAATTCTTCCCTTACTCTTACTGGTTCAGATTTTGAAGTCTTTGAGGGCTCAATACAGCAGTTAGCAATATTTGTGTTTATTAAACCCTAACAAATAAGAAAATAAAAAAAGAAATTAGTTTATAAACACAAAAAATGAATATTTTTGTTTAATAATGTCTATTTTATAATTATAATCTCAAAAAAAAAAATTGAAAGTATTTTATAAGACAGTATACAAAACTGCTTGGCGACTGGGCAAGGCGAGCCTCCAAGGGCACCTTGTCGCCTAGGCGTCGCCTTGAAAACTATGAACCAGATATGTGCCATTCCACCAACAGAGCTTTCACTGAAACTGGCATGCACCAGCGTAAGTTCAGGGCCTTCAAAAAGTGACTCCAAACAGACCTTTCTTTGGAAAGGCATCTCTCCAAAGCTGCCACCCAGGCAAAAAACTTGACTTTTGAGGGAGCAGCTGACCCCCAAATGGCCTGGCTAGGAAACAGGACTTCATTCTCTCCCACTAGAAAATTGTAAAAAGATTTGACTGAGAACTCTCCTGACTCATTCCACTTCCAAAATCTTGTATCCTGTGCTTGTATATTTAAATGCTGGTTTTGTAGCAGAACAAGGAGGTATGCTACTATCTGAAGCACCCAATCATTAAAGCCCCTTCTAAAAGGAGTCCAACAAATGCTATTGTCAGTCAGCAAAAAAGAATCACCTACCAAGACTTCCTTGTCTGTTGCTACATTATACAAGGCTGGAAACAGCTCTTTAAGAGTGTGATCCCCAATCCAGGGCTCTAACCAGAATCTGAGTCTTATACCATTTCCAATTTTGTAGCTGATGCACCTGCTGAAATGTGTGGAAACTTGACAGATTCCTTTCCACACACGACAGCCATAAGTCAATGGCAGTAGTCCAGCCTCCCAACCATTGCTTCCTAGCCCATATTTCTCGGTTATGATCTTCCTCCAAAGCCAACTTCCCAGTAAAGCAAAGTTGATAGACTTTATATGTCTTATTCCCAAACTACCTTTGGACTGAGGCTTACAAATATGATCCCAATTCACAAAATGGTATTTGGGAGAGTCTTTCCAACCCAGCCAAAAAAAATCTCTCTGCTTTTCCAATTTCTCTGCAATCTCAGAAGGAACTGAAAAGAGGGACATAAAATAAGTCGGGAGGCTTTCCAACACGCTTTTGATAAGAGTTACCTTGCCACCTTTACAAAGATACCTTTCTTTCCAAGCGACCAGTTTTTTATCCATCTTTGTATAGTGTGAAATGAGTTTTCTTTATGAGGGTTTTCAGGTTAAATGAATGTACGATAATTAAAAAACCATCGTTTATTTTATTTTTAGCTAGTTTTGTATCTGGTAAGGAATAATTAATTAATTTGTTGAAACAGTTACCTGTTTGAATTATGAAACTTAATCCTTTGCTAATTGTACAAAACTGATGGCTATTAGTTTCCTGCTTATAAACTATACTTGATGTTTAGCTGCATATTTTTGAATTGAAACTCCTTTTTCTTTCATCTTTTACTTTTTTTGTTAGTTTAATGTGGGGAATACATTGATGTGGTACTCTATGATGCAATTGGTACTTGCTTCTGTTATCCTACCTTAAACCTATTAACTTGGTACTTAAAAACTATGATGTTTGGTTGCATTTTTTTTTTCACTTAGAATCTCTCTTTTCTTTTATCCCTTTAGTTGGTTAATCTAGAGATCTTTTCTAGGATGGTGTGGTACTCTTAATGATGCAGTTGGTACTTACTGCAGTTATCCTAACTCAAACCTGTGATCTTTTCATTTAGAAACAATGTATGGTGTTGAAATGCATATTTTTCAATTGGAAGCTGCCTTTCCTTTTAGCCCTTTAGTTTGATTTTTGTTGATAACTTGGTTTAATCTGGATTTATATTAGCTGATATAAAAAGGAATTTTTCTATGTTAATGTGGTACTGCAGCAATGTAGTTGGTAATCATTGTGATTATCCTACTTGGATTAATTGACTTTTTTTAGATGGTTGTCTAAAAACAGTTTATAGGATGTCTTTTTCCCTCCTTAGTGATATTGGTTCTGTATCATCAGATTTATTTGCAGGATCTTTCCTGTTCTAAATCAGAGTTTAAGCTGCCTAGCACACCATGCTCGCCGATCATAGATCCACATCTCTCTCCAGATGGAAATATGCTTGCCTATGTAAGAGACAATGAGCTGCATGTTTTGAATTTGTTATACAGCGAACCCAAACAATTAACATATGGTGCCAAGGAAAATTTCCTGGTGAGCTTTATTTTTCTTGTTTATTTCTGCCCAATCTGGGTTAAGGAATTTAGCAACTCTGAGTTCCTTTTCACTTCTGTTTACTGCTGTTTCAAGTGACAAAATATGAGTCATCCTTTTGTTTTCCTATTTTTTTTTTACAATTTGTTTTCAGCAATACTTCATTTTACCTGTGGCCACATGGCATCTACTTGAATTGATTCACCTGTTCACCTTGTTAATGTGTTATCTGACTCAGAACATCATGCTAAAGGTCAATTTTATCTATCCAGTAAAAGGTAATAGAGAAAAATATTTGGAAGTTTTTTGGATAGGTAAATGCTGGTTTTATTAAAAGAAGAGAGGTATTATAGAATCTGATATTCAGTTTTTGCTACATCACTACATATTTGAGCGAAATTGAGGACCTTTGCTTACCACCTCTACTATAAGAAGCAAACTAATAAGCAACCTGGTTAGCAGTCTCCTATAAAATGATGCCACCTCAATATAGTTTAGACAAAAAGTTCCAATAAAAGGGCTAATGTGGACAGAATTCCCAAGGACCTACAACACCTGAATATGATAAAATCATTGCAAGACAAGGTGTTGGACATGGAATATATATACTAAAAATTGAAGTATATATATTCCACCACATCCGATTACCAGTATTGATGGACAATAGTCAAGGTGCCATGTCATTACTATTAACTACCGTTGCTACTGAAATTGAATCCATTTCAGTTACCAGTATGGAAGTACCTTGATATTGGGGGTACTTGCACCCCATTAAGCATATCCAAAAAAGGTCGATTAAAAAATAAATTTATAGTTTTTTTTTGATAATTAAAAATAAATTTATAGCCATTGCTCTGGACAATGGCTTTAAATAAATGTCTATCCAAAGTTAATCTAGTGAAATGTGGCATTCAGATTTCGGATTTGTCGTGTGGCTTATGTGGTGGGGTAGTAGAAACTACTGAACATCTGGCATTACATTGCCCAGTCTTGAATTACATTTGGAGGCATTTTCTCCAAACTTTGGAAATCAGCTGGGTAATGCCAATTTCTGTGAAGGATCTGCTGTTGTGTTGGCAGATTGAGGGTCTCAGCAAGAAAGGTATCTTGGTTTGGAAGACTATCCTGGCTGCTGTGCTTTGGACTATCTGGATTGAAAGAAATAACAGAAATTTTCAGGGCAAAGCTAAATCTTCAGAGGAAATGGTGCAGATAGCTGTGGGTAAACTTCTGTCCTGAGTGTCGGCATCGGAGTTGTTTAAAAATCAGAATTTGAGTCTGTTGTTTAGATCTCAGAACTGGTTGTATCTGTAATTTGTGGTGGCTCTAGGCAGCCTCTAATGGCCTAGGCTCCTTTGTACCGGTTCTTATTTTAATAAATTACCTTACCTTTCAAAAATAAATAAATAAATTTATAGTTGCCACTACCACCATTTTGTATGGCCTATAAGAGGATGTACATCATGATTTATTGGAAAACTACTGTATCCCAATCTATCTCTAGTCACTGAAATGTTGTAATGAAACACACTGACTAGAGGAGGTTTTGGCCATCCAAAAAATTGAGTAGAGGTTGTGGGGTTATATGAAAGCTGAAGATTCTAAATAATGGTTCAAGTTTTTAGTTGTCTTCATATTTTTTATCTGAAATTCTGCCACTGTATCATGAATATCATGAAAGTAGATTAAAATATCTGTTCCATTTACCAGCCATTATTTTGGAAACACCTTTCACTAGTTTCCCACCAAATACAAATGCATCATGCTACAGAAAACATGATTTAGTTTGTTGGTCTTAAATAAAGAATTTATAGGATGTGCTTATGCTACTACATGGACACCAAACAATTCTTTTTTTTTTAATAGTGAAAATAAAATATTTGAAAATAATTAAGCCTTATATGGTGTGACTGTCCAAACCAAAGCCTCGTATGTTGTGATTCCCTGGTTTCTATCTTATGCTACAGTGGCTTAGAGGAATGTGATTGTTTCTTTGGGGTCTCATTTATACAATGTTTCTCTTTTTACCACCATGATTGTATTCTAATGTAGCATGGAAAAGAGAGAACTTAGGAAGATAAATTAGAGATTGTGTAGAAGCAAATATAAAAAGAGTAATAGAAGAACAGGTAGAGGCAGCAAGAGAGCAGTTAAAAAAAGAAGAGAAAGAAAAAAGATCACACATTTAGAAGAGAAAAAGATGGAGAAGATTAACCTCTTCAAAGAGTATTATGATTGGAGTTGGAGACATTCCAAATCCTGTGCTAGAGGAGTGTGCTGGAGCTTTGGGCTGTCTGGTTGGAAGCTTCCCTTTTTCTTATTTGGGGCTTCCAATTGGGGCCGGGACTGCTACTGCTTCAACTTGGCAACCTGTGCTAGACAGAATAGATCAAGGGCTGGCGGGCTGGAAAGGAAAATTTCTCTCTTTTGCTGGGGAAGTTACCTTGATAAAAAGTGTTCTTTCTAACCTGTTGATCTACTGCCTATCTTTGTTGAAGGCTCCAATGGCAGTGGTGGGGGAGATAGAAAGAATCCAAAGGGAGTTTTTGTAGAGTGTGAGGGCTGAAAAAAAGAAAATTCGTTTAGTTAAATGGGAGGTGGTGTGTAAGCCTAAAAAAGAAGGGAGTCTTGGGGTGAGAAGGGTGGGGGTCTTTAACAAAGCTTTGTTGGGAAAGTGGGTGTGGAGATTTGGAAGAGAGAGGGAGGCACTGTGGAGGAGAGTAGTGGCGTGTAAATATGGGGTGGTGACTTTTGGGAGGGATTCAAAGGAAGTAAGACACTCTTATGGGGTTTGTGTATGGAAAGGGATAATGAGTTTCAATTCTCTGTTGGTTCCTCATTATTCTTGGAGGGTGGGGAGTGTGTCTAGCATTAGGTTTTGGGAGGATGATTGTTCTGGAGTTGAGAAGTTTTGCGAGATTTGTCCTAGGTTGTATAGGTTGGGTCGGAAGGGAGTGCCTAATTCTGAATGTTATGAAGTCTCAAATGGTTCTGTGGTGTGGACTCCAAAATTGCAACCTATGGAAATCAATCTGTCAGCTGGTGACATCAGATGGTGGAAGGAATGCAAGGATGGAAAATTTACAGTTAAGTCAATGTACTCTATTCTGATCAGTAATATGGTGGAACCGATCCAATTCAGGGAGTGTGGGGGAAGCCAGTGCCCTCAAGAGTGGAAGCCTTTGCCTGGCTGATAGCCAGGGGGTGCATTCTGACTCAGGACAGCCTACAGAGTCAAGGATTTCAATTTCCAAGCAGATGTGCTCTGTGCTTGTTTGGAAAGGAAAACATTATGCATTTGTTCTACCATTGCAGCTTCATTTACCCAATATGGTTCTTCTTCTTCAAGCTGTTTGAAGTGGATGGGTGGTCAATTTCAGATCAGTTTGAAATCTTTGGCTGTTGACCAAGAAATCAGCGTGGTTCTAAGGTCAAACTGATGTGTAGTTGCATTCCATTTACGATGTGCTGGGAAGTTTGGAAGGAAAGAAATAGAAGAATTTTTTAGAATAAGAAATGTTTGGAAGAGGTAGTGGCTCAGATCAGCTCGTCAGTGATTGTTTGGGTGTTGGTTCTGCCAGAATTTCAAGGATTAAAGAAAGAAGACTTTGGGGCAGATTTCTGGAGTTCTTTGAATTTTTAAAAATTCTGGGTTTTTGTTGTATTTTTGCTTTAAAGTTTGCTATGTTGTTTTTTTGTTTCTCTTGGTTTGGGGGTGACCTCTTGTCACCATTTTAAGCTGTAAACTTTTATTTTAGTTTTAAAATTTTCTTTATTTATCTTAAAAAAGGATGGAGAAGAAAGAGAGGACACACACTTAACAAGATTCAACTTCAAATTTTTATTTTATTCAATCTATCTCATTCTACTATGTTTTATGCCTCTTATGGATGGATGTACATATTAGTGTTAGGCCAGCCTTTACAATTTTTTTTTTTTAATATCATTGCCAGCTCTTGCAAGTTTTTTCCTCAGTATCTAACGTTTGTTTTTGTCCATTTTATTTCAGACTCGTGGTCTTGCGGAATATATAGCCCAGGTAAAGTCCTCTCTCTCTCTCTCTCCCTCCCCTTTATTATTTTATATTTATGTATTGTTTATACTAGCCAAATCTCTTTTCAGTTCCTCAATGTTTACTGACTTCAGGAAGAGATGGATAGAAAGAATGGATTCTGGTGGTCACCGGACAGCAAATATATTGCATTTGCAGAAGTTGATTCATCTGAAATACCTCTTTTCAGAATCATGCATCAGGGAAAAATCTCGGTTGGTTCAGATGCACAGGAAGATCATGCCTATCCATTTGCAGGAACATCAAATGTCAAAGTTCGGCTTGGAGTGGTTTCTGTTTCTGGGGGTGCCGTTACTTGGATGGACCTTATTTGTGGAGGAAAGGACCGGGCTATCAAAGATGAAGAATATTTGGCTAGAGTTAATTGGATGCCTGGAAATGTTCTAACAGCTCAGGTTTTAAATAGGTCTCATTCCAGATTGAAAATCCTTAAGTTTGATATTAGAACAGGTGAAAGAAATATTTTATTGGTAGAAGAAGGAGAGCCGTGGATTAATTTACATGACTGTTTTACACCTCTGGACAAGGGAGTGGATCTATTTTCTGGGGGATTCATATGGGCTAGTGAGAAAACAGGATTTAGGCATCTGTATCTACATGACCTTAATGGAGCTTGCTTGGGACCTATTACGGAGGGTCAGTGGATGGTTGAGCAAATTGTAGGTGTGAATGAAGCTGCAGGACTTATATATTTCATTGGAACTGCCAATGGACCTCTGGAATCTAATTTATACTGCACATGCTTGTTTCCTGATTGGGCCCACCCCTTGGAGGCTCCACAAAGGTTGACCCATGGAAAAGGGAAGCATGTGGTTATGCTCGATCATCAATTACAGAGGTTTGTTGATGTTCATGATTGTTTGAGCTCTCCACCTAGGGTGTTACTTTGCTCATTGCATGATGGAAGATTGATATTGCCTCTATATGAGCAGCCATCCACCATTTCACAATCAAAAAGTCTTCCACTTCAGCCACCAGAGATTTTCCAGATAACTGCCAATGATGGGACAATCTTATATGGGGCTTTATACAGGCCGGATGTAAATAGATTTGGACCTCCACCATACAAAACCTTGATCAGTATGTATGGTGGACCATGTGTTCAGCTTGTCTGTGACTCATGGATGAATACAGTAGACATGAGAGCTCAGTATCTACGGAACAAGGGCATCTTAGTATGGAAGGTCAGTGTTATCATAAATGCAACCCTTGAAACTAATTGCTGGATTGACTAGGAACAGAATTTTGTTGCCCTATTGGTGTTTGAATAATGTACTAATACGAGTCAAGGCTGCCTTAGGCAATTCCAAATCCTTGCTGCATAGGCAGTACTTTAGGTGGTTGTTTACTTTATCACACAACATCTATTAGTTAATGCCTAGGAGCCAATCTGCATAGTGACTTGCATCATATTCTCGAGTTGATAATATTACACATCTACATGTTTTCAGTATTGTAGGCATAGACATTAAAGAAGCGTGTATAATGAGATCAAGGAGCTGAAAGTTGGAGGGTCAGGTTCTTTCTTAGTTTTGATACTTTATTTCTTCAACATATTACTTCTGATTAGACCTATTATTGATTTATTGTAAAATGTTTGTAATACATGCATCACTTCACTTTACTGTTCAGGCTTGGAGTACTGCTTCAGATTGATAGCTTTGATACTTTATTGCTTGTATGCTGCCACCAAACTATGTAATTCATGGTGTGCTAAAATATTTATATCAGAGTGCTTTATATGTTGTATTTTGTACAGTTTAATGTTTCCTTTCTATTCCCTAATTCTTACCTCCCTAGTCCCTAGGTAGGCCAAAATGCTTGGGCATCTGCCTTGAATACATTGACATAAACCTTTTTCTGTGTTCTTTTGGCTAGATAATATGCTTCTAATAGAATTTCCTACTTAAAATAAATGGAAAGAGAAGGGAAGAATGAAGAAATCAGGGAGACTGAAAACTTCAAAGAAAAACTAGAAGGATGCCAATTTTTTCTTTCTACAATGAAAGTTTTGCTTCAGTATTGTTTTCAACCCCACTATTTTTGGTTTTACAGCTAGATAATAGAGGAACTGCTAGACGAGGAATGAAGTTTGAGAGCTACCTCAAGTACAATATTGGCCGTATTGATGCCGAAGATCAGCTAACTGGGGCTGAATGGCTCATCAAACAAGGGCTTGCAGAAGCAGGGCGGATTGGTTTGTATGGGTGGAGCTATGGAGGGTACCTAGCAGCCATGACCTTGGCCAGGTTCCCTGATACTTTCCGATGTGCAGTGTCTGGTGCTCCTGTTACAGCATGGGATGGGTATGATACATTTTACACTGAGAAGTACATGGGGTTGCCGTCCGAAAACCCTGCAGGTTATGAGTATAGCTCTGTGATGCATCACGTACACAACATCAAAGGGAGATTGTTAATTGTGCATGGCATGATTGATGAGAATGTACATTTCCGGCACACAGCAAGGCTCATCAATGCAATTGTTGCGGTGGGAAAACCATATGAGCTTCTGGTTTTTCCAGATGAGCGTCACATGCCACGCAGGCTTAGGGACCGGATATATATGGAAGAGAGGATTTGGGAATTCATGGAGAGAAATTTGTGAAGAAAATTTTTAGTTTCCATCTTTTTTTGGCCAAAAACTTCCATTAATTTTTATGCTGCTGTTGTAAATTGTATGTATCATATCTCCACGAGTAGTAAATGTTGGGATGAACACGGTGGTGGGGCTTGTCTCTAACTCTCTATTGTGAAAGCCGCATTCTTTTAACCCTGTCAATGTTTTTATTTGTTACGCTCTGGAGACTAGAATCTTGTACAAAAACAAGCCCCTCTTGAAGTTGCCATCATCGTCATTCTTTTTTTGCTAGAGAAAGTCATCTTAAGAAAACTACTTGGCTTTGCCTTCACCATCAGAGACCTTGAAGGGTGAAAATGAGTAATTAGCTTTTGTCCTTTTGAAGGTTTAAAATATCAACATGAGCATATCGTAACTATATTTCAAAGGTATGGGTACATGAAACAGGTGGAAAACGATACATGCGGCTATGTTTGGTTCAATTAGTGTTTATTGAAAAAAAATGCTGCCACATCAGTGCCACATAGGCATTGGCATTTATTGTATATGAAACTACAGTTTGATTTCACCATTTGTCAAGAGGGTTTCTGGTTCTATGGGTATTTATTGAAAAATTGCTATCACATCAACGCCACATAGGCATTGGTATTTATTGCATATGACACCACTATTTGGTCTTGTTTATTAAATAAACACTAAAAAACTGAAATGTTTTGATTTATGTGCATGGGGTATTTGGAAAAACATCAAATTCTCATTTTCCCCAATGCCCTAGCATTTCTTGAATCGAAAAGCTTATGTGGCATACTTTTATGGGGTGTTAATTTGAGATGAAAAGTAAAAAAAACATTAAAAGTAATGTCCAATTAAACAACAAAAGCAAGAAACATTTAAAGTGAAAAAAATTTAAAGTAAAGTTGTACAAATAAACATTTGCAATAAATGGTTCATCTATAAATGCCCATAGAACCAAACATATACCAAATAGACACTAAAATTTTGAAATGCTTTGATTTATGTGCATGGGGCATTTGGGGAAACGTCAAATTCGCGTTTCCCCCAACACCCCATCATTTCTTGAAATGAAATGCTTATGTGACATACTTTATGGGGTATTAATCTGAGGTGGAAAGTAAAAAATGTTTAAAGTAATGACCAACCAAACAACAAAAGCAAGAAATGTTTAAAGTAAAGTTGTACAAATAAACGTTTAAAGCAATAAACGATCCATCTATAAACGCCCATGGAACCAAACATATACACAATCTATGCTAGCGGTTATGGATTTATGGTGGCTGCCATAATTCTATAACCACTATAAGAGGTCAAAAAAATTTGACTTATATCTTTTTTTGGCAATTTCTATAGGTTACCCCTAACAGCCAATAAAAATTATAAAAAAATTGTAAATGATTTTTTATATGTTCTAAATTATTTTCATTACAGAAAAGAACCATAAATGGATCTATTCAAGACAGGAAGTTCACACATTGTTTGATATATTATTAATAAAATTATTATATGATGTTTAAAAGCTTTTAGAATTCCAATGTTGTGAGTTATAATTTAATGGGTAAATTACAAAGACCTCCCTACTATGGGGTCATTTCACTGATATGAATGTTTCTCTTCATCTTAAAATATAAAAATTATCCACTCTTTTCTCCAATAAATTAAGAAAAACCAAATGAAACCTTAAATTTATATCTATAAGAAACATTTACCATTTCACCTTAATATTGATTCCAACATAAAATCTATAAGGATCTATTAGAGCAATCGAGAGAATTTCAATATTATATTTAGAAAACCAATCGAATGATAAATCATTCAAATGAATAAAAAAGGTTGTTTAGGGATTTAAAAAATTTTAAACAACTGAACGAGAATCTTTTTTGAAATTAACTAATGGAACTCTAATAGAGGGGGTATTTGTTGCAAAGTGAAAGTTCAGGAGGCTCTTTGCCGCAAATGACAGTTCCAGAGGGTAATTGTGAGTTGTCACCAAACCTGTTCACGAGTTGTGCTTTGGGCCCAAGTTTACATTGTTTTGGGCTTGGACTTTGAGTTTGGTCCATTCAAATTTTGGCAAAAGGCAAACCAGAGCTTGGCCCATGACCAAGTCTAATTGTCAATGATCCTATAGAGTATAGATAGTAGAGTCTTTGTAATTTATCCTATTTTAATTTTAAATTTATTATTATTGATATATTTTGTGGGATTTGCAAGAGTTTTTCCAATGTATCCAAATGTATTCATATATTTCCACCCTATCCATATGTATCCAAAGCAAATTATGATACATCTTACGGTTACTTTGAACCTTGGTTTGTTTATATCATCATCACCATCATTATCATCTAAGCCTTATGCCAATTATATGGGGTTGATTACATGAATCCCATATCACCATTCCCTCTAGGGGGTCCTCTTTTTTAAGATTTTGGGAGGGGGGAAAGTTGGTCAACCAAGAATCCCATGTTTATTTTTCAGATTTATGTGGGTATTAGGGAAAGTTTATTTTCCTGGATATCACTCACCTGTGTAAGTGATACAAATCTCCTAGGTGGGTACAAACACTTGAATGGAACAAAAATGCCCCTTTTAATAATGGATTTTTATGTCTAAAATGGTCATTACCCTAGGAAATAAAAAAATATGGGTAAATGCACTTACCCGGTAAGTGTTTCGCAAGAAAAACTTACCCAAGTAATTGCATTTACCTGGATAAATAACTTACCAAAAAGCGAACAGGGCCTTAGTGATATATCCTTTTCTTCCGGGGAGAATGAATTTTGGAAAAGAAGCTAGTTTGTGTTTACCAAATATTGGATTTTGAGTAATCAAAATCCTTAATGGGTCCCGACTCTTGAGCCACCATATGGTGCCTGCTTGAAACAAGACGAAAGGGTCACACTGTGTCATATTGGATATCGAGTTATCAGCTTGTATGGTTTGTCACAATTGTGATTCTGTAAAAGGTCAGGCGATTCTTGAAGGATAGTTCGATATCTTTTGAGATGGAAGTGATAGTTACAGCCATGTGAACAAATTAAGAGATAAGGAATCCGGTCCCGTGGGAGATGCGCAATATAGTCTTATAGCCATAGTCCAAGATATTACGACTGTAAGTAACAATGACACCTCAAAGAAATGAAGATGTTCTGTCCGTGTATATGCTATGCTAGCCAATACGATGGCTATTCTGGTCGACAATGTTAGATGGATTGAGTTCATTTTGCAATGTTGTAAGAGGGAGAGAGAGCTTTGGTCCTCCATAGATTTTGTTTACTTGATAGAAATGCAAAAGGACACAGACCCACTTGGTGATGGATTCTGTTCCCGTAGAGTAGAGACGATCGAATCAAACCCAGCCAATTCGACCTAATATAGCTCTGTTTCCTTTAGCTTTGTTGGTCGTGAACGTGAAGGAAATGTTTTTGCTCACAAGGTAGCTCAGAGAGGCTTTTGGGACAGAGGGGAGTTTCTTTCTTTTTTGCCTTCCTGGGTCAGTAGTCTGTTGTTACTCAGTAATTTCCCTGTTTGCTTCGAATTTTGTTTGTCTTGCTTATTGAATCTTTGGATTATCTATAACCTAATCTACATTTTATAAAAAAGGGAAGCTTGAAATTGGCAAAAACAAAATTTTATTATAATTTTACACTGGATTCTACTTCACTGGTCCTGGTCTATGTTGGCAAGCCTTGGATGACTTGGTTATTGGGCTTGGTGTGGTCACTTTCTTTCTTGGCCTGGCCCAAGCCGCCCAACCTCAACAAGTTCTACAGCGGACCCTAACCTGGGTTGGGCTACACAACGGGGGGTTGACCAGTAGTACATCCCTCAATCTAGGTGTAGGCGGGATTCGATTCCAAATCTCGCTACGATCAGCAGGAGACCTTAACAACCAGCTGGTTTATACCTTGCATCAGAAATTCCCTTCAAAGCTACACTTGACTTACCCACCTCCACCTGCAGGCGGTATACAACATAATCCGTTTTGCCTTGCTTTTTTTTTGTCATATTTTATATCTTATTTTTCTTTTTTATTTCTTCTAAGCTGCTGTCTTTGTTTTCCTGTAAAATGGATTTTGTGAAGTAATTTCTGCTTCTTTAGGTTGAAATAAAAGGATCCAAGACCAAAATTTGCCTGTTTTCTGAAGTAAAACAGAGGAAAAGTTACAAGTTACAAGTTACAATGACAGAGGTGTGGAGTGGAGAGTTATTCCCAAAGTCTGAACGTTCAGATCCAAGACCTCCTTCTGAGCCCGAAATATTTGTCTCCTACTCTGTAACAAGACAAATGCAAAAGAACAGGATGGAAAGAGCAACCGACAGAACTGGGAAAGAGGAAATCCAGTCTCCCCATGACCGACCTTGCTCTGGATTTGGAGCCACAATGAGCGACGAATGGGTGGCTATGTCTACTGTGCTGTGCTCACTGTTAAGGGTGTAAATGGATCGGTTTTGGATTGGACCTCGTTCAGTCCAAAATCAATTTGAATGGACCAGTAAGATATGTTGAATAGGACCAATCCAGTTCAAAATATTAATTAGATTGGATTGGACCTGGTCCGGTCCATCTGTAATAAATTTATATTGAATTGGGCTGAATTAAGTCATAGGAATCAATAGACTGAATTTGGGTTGAAATCAATCTAAATTAAAATAAATCTGAAGAGATTGGAAGATCCAGACATTGAATTAGACCAATCTAAAATGGTACAAAATATTTATTAGATTAAATTGGAACTGATCCATTTATAATGGATTTACATTGGACTGAATTGGATTGGACTAAATCTAATCCGATTGACACCCCTACTCAGTGCTCAGGCTGAAACCTGAAAATCCTTCCCACATCGGAGGTCTTGAGCCATTAAACATCCACCCCATTTCATCTGATGATAACTCAAATCGACTGAAATAAGCCTCATCCTGAGCCGAAACTATACAGGGTGATACTATGATAGTGATGACAAATTCATAATAAACATGGAAATTACATAATTAATTCATAAAAGAGCAATAATCAACATAAAAATTTCATTGTTAACACAAAAAAAGAAACTTTTGCACCATCTAGTACTAGTACGAGGCCCCTGTTTCTGCTTGCCCATTCTTTTTGAGTTTTGTCTCAAACTTCTCTTTCATTCATCTCGATGATGGCACGTGCTCCCTTACCTTCCTCCCAGATCCCTCCCATCATTTCTCTTTCTTTGTGCCCTTTTGGTGAGACCGCATCTGCTCCTCACAAAGGACGCTTCACTCGCGCCTCACACGCACATCGTACCATGCATTGTGAACATCTCCCGTACTGGAGATGTTCCCGATTCCCAATGCACGGTGGATGTGCATGTGAGGCGCCCCCGAGTGAGGAGCAGATCCCGTTCCCTCTTTGGTCCACAAACAGACACCACAATAATAATATAATAATAATAGAGAGAGAGAAGCACAGAAATTGAACTCCCAAGTCTGAATTCAAAGTTTGCATCCGATCTATAAAACACCCACCACCAAAATATCTGTTTCTGGTTTTCCATCTCTCCCATTTATTTACCCAATTAAAAGAAAAAAAAGAAAACCATGAACAAATTTGACAGACCTCCATCAAGCCGAACGAATCTGGCATCTTGCATCGTGGCTACGGTTTTCCTAGTTTTTCTTATCTTCGTAGTCCTCGTTGTTTTCTTCACCCTCTTCAAGCCCAAGGACCCAAGGATCGTCGTTAGCGCCGTTCAGCTCCCGACCTTCTCCATCTCCAACTCCACCGTCAACTTTACCTTTTCCCAGTACGTCTCTGTAAGAAACCCTAACCACGCCGTTTTCACCCACTACGACAGCTCGCTACAGCTACTCTATGCCGGAAACCAGGTGGGTTTCATGTTCATCCCCGCCGGTAAGATCGACGCTCGCCATACCCAGTACATGTCTGCCACGTTCTCCGTCGAGTCAGTCCCGTTGGTGGCTCCACCGAACGGATTGCCCACATTCGCCGACGGCATTAATAATGGGTTTCAGCTGGGACCCACCTTGGAGCTTGAGTCGAGATTGATAATGGCGGGCAGGGTAAGGGTTCTGCACTTCTTCACCCACCATGTGGAGACCAGGACTGGTTGTAGGGTTGCAATTGCTGCAAGCGATGGATCGGTGTTAGGGTTTCATTGCTAATTTTTTTCCCTTTTTGCCTTCTTCGAATCTTCCTGATTTGGGTTTTCAATTTGAATCCCAATTTGGTGGATAAATTGTAAAAAATTAATAATTTTTTTTAATCTTCCCATCCTTTGATGGCTTTTCTGATCTGCATTTCAGACTGATTTGACGAAAATGCTTAGCTTTGCAGCTCGAAGATTCAACTGATTTGATTCTCTTTTTCAGCGAAAAAATGAATAGTAGTTTTTTTTTTTTTTTAAATAATTTTCTTATGTGTAGAATTGTAATGTGGGAGTCTACTGTCTACACAGACTACACTCCCCTGAACTGTAGAAAAGCTGCATTTGAATCTCCTTTATTTTTAGCCGTTTAGTTGGACTTTTTAAAGCCTGCAAGGTGCTTTTGCTGGTTTGCACTTTGCAGTGTGCAGAGTTGCAGACAGTGTTTACACTTTACACTTTACTCAGTTGAGGCGACAATGGGGCGGGCTCCTGAACACACAGAGTTCCAATCATGGCTGTCGGGTTTTGCCTTCTTTAATTCGTTTAGGCTGTGTTTGGTTGATAGAAAATAGGAGAGAAATTGAAAGTTGAGAGAAAATTCTTAAGAAATTTTACAAAATTTGTTACACTTTACACTTTTCTATGGTTGAAACTTTTGCCGCCAAATTTAGCCAGGAGCAGTGGCCCACATGCATCTAATTAAAGCCATAATTCGATATTGATTTCTTGTTTTCATCTCTTTTCCCTTTTTTCTTTTTGGTAGAAAATCTCTTTTTCCATTTAAATCAATCCATGAAGTATTAAGCTTTTTGCCATCACGTAAAATCGGAAAATAAGGTGGATGAACTATAATTTGTACTAGTTATTGGTAGAGCGGCACGTGCAGGAGGGAAAAATCATAGAGAGAGGGAGAGAGAAAGAGGGGTTAAATAAACGGATTACATTTTTAACATGACGTGAAGCCAACGCAAGCATATAAACTATTTGGGTGAACATTAATTAGTACAGTACAAGGTATAAGTAATTGGTATAAAAATTTTGACAAACACCCCCTTATTTTAGGTATATCTATTACTATTATTAAATACTTTGCATTATTAAAATAGAAATGCCCAGCCTTTGATCTCCAAAACATTAATATCTAGGATGTAACAAAAAGAGACATCTATCTTTCAAAAAAAATAAAAAAGAGATCTACAAATTGATAAATTAAAAAGCAACAATATTCTATATGGATTGTAGCTCAAAATCAAAGCCTCAAACTAAATCCATAAGGAATTGAGGTAGAAAGAGACAAGGGAAGGGGATGGTGGTAGAATGGGTGGTGTTATTAAGTAGAAAAGGAACTTTGTTTTTCTTTCTTCATTCTTATCGATGAAGAAACAAAGTATATGGGAGAGATGGGTTCTCTTTTCAACTCCTTTTAGGCTGCATTTAGCATTCTTTATTTTAAGGATTTATCTCTTTTTTGCAGTTAAAAACTCAATATTCATATTTCATAGGGGCATTTTAATTATGAAAAGGAGATAAATCCTTAAAATAAGGAATGCCAAATGCAGCCTTATTGTTTTCTAATATCTAATTTTAAGAAAGCAAAGTAATTTTTATCTTTTATCAAAGAAAAACCATACTTAGAACTTAGAAATGATTGGTCTGAAGTGGTAAAGACTGATGATTTAGAGATTTAGGGGTTATTTGGCAAGTCTTTTTAGGTGAATCTTTCAACAGTTCAGTAGATGAGAAGATACATTAAGCTTTTCAGGTCTTGTTTTTAAAGATCAAGACTGTTTGGTTCTAGTCATGGTCTACAAGCTGTTAAAAACAGTTGAAAAGGCTGTTTTTAGTGCTAAAACACTAAAAACTTCATTTGAAGCTTCTTGATTTTTTGCCCTTTTGGTCTTTTCACGCGCTTGTCTTTGGGTCTTTTAGTCTACGTGATACCAAACGGGAAAAGACCATTTTTGGTCTTTTGAAATTCCTGCAGGCTGAAAGACACCACAAAGACACGCCAAACACCACCTTATAATTTGTCAGAAAATATAGCTTGATGGAGCGCAATGGTTGGACAAGAACTCGTGTAGCAAATCCCAAATAGTTGGGATTAAGGCCAAGTTTCTTTTATATTGATTTGTAAATAATTATCATGAGATTTTTAAGGAATTTATAGATATGAACTATGAAACCAAATTGGTTATAAGAATAATTTATATATAAAATATTTAATTATAAGGGAACCTTAGCTTAGTGTAGTTGGGGCTAAGCCAGGTGGTATTTATTTGGTCCAACCGTCCAAGCCGTGGAGGGGTGCAAGTGCAACCATGCAACCTTCTATTTATACCCAGGTATCAAGGTTCAAAGTATCGGCCTGTGCCGGCCGATACGTATCATTCCATAACTCCTTCGATATGTCCCTACAGTGGGTGTATCAGGGATCTGACTGGTTCAGGGGGTGGAGGAACCCTAAACCTACTCCCATGAACTGGTTGCGAAAAAAAATAAAAAAAAGGCATCAAAGTTGTATCGATTCGCCCGATACGCCCATACCGGCGTATCGGGCGTATTGATATTTTGAACCTTGCCAGGTATAAAAAGAGAAGCACCATGGTTGGTCAGCCCGGAGAGTGGTTAAAAATAAGGCTTTTAAAACCGAATTGGACAACAAACTGTTTAGGGGTCCGGTTCTCAGGTCAAATGGTCCGACCATTCGAACCGAACGAATGGCCCATTCTAACAAAAAAAATAAAAATAATAAAATAATAAAAAATAGATAAAAATCGTTAGATGGTTCGAACATCCGAGTTAGCGATTTGCTGACCAAATCAATGATTTTTGGCCAAAATACGGTTTTGGGGTAAAACAGGTGACTGGTTCCCAGTTTTTTTGGTCCGACCGTCTGGTCTGGTCCGGTTTTGAAAACCATGGTTAAAAACCAACTACCTGGGAAAACATGTTTCAGAGATGATCGTGATAGTCGTCGAGCAGCTTGATCCAGACTGAGAGCTCAGTTCTAGCCTTTTAGGTTAGACCGGTGGCGGAGATTTGAGCCGGTGATCAACTTTACCTTCTATGAGTCTATCCACGATTTAAGGGGAGTTTTGTACGGAAAGCCTCTGGTGTTGTGACTATTTGTTCTCAGATCACCAGAAGCGTGGCTAAGGAAGGTTAAGAAACGATGCCAAAATTCTAGTAGGAAAAAGGATGGATTTTTTCAACCTTGTTTATGAAAAAAGGGCCATCCAGGAAAATTGAAATACCAATCTCTTAAAGATCTTTTCTTTCATTGTAGATAGCTCCTGGGGCCTAGACCATGTATTTAATGTGTTTCTGATCATTGACATGGGATGGGAATGGGATGATCACCAAATGATACCAGGTGAAGGGAGGGTTTCGCCTATTGGGCTTGGGCTGGCCATATTAAACCTGAACCTAGTCAATTTCTAACATGGGCATGAAATTTAAACTTGGGCCTGCCGACGGGCTAAAATTTTGCAGCACAACCTTTGTTTATAGAAGAATTGGGCTCCTGTTGGCCCAGAAGCCAGAATTTCCCCCATTAACACATAGGGTTGCTTACTTGGGCATAGTTTTCAAACCAAACCGCTACCACTGATTTCTTGAAAACTGTGAACTGAAATTGTTCCGAATTCAACTGGTTAACTGATTGATCATTTCCATTCTTCGATTTTTTATTTTTTGATATACTCAGTTAATCGCCGGATTTTCATATTGACTAACTGAAATAAAAACGACCGGTTCAGTTAATTAGAAATTTCAATTTGATTTTTCGACTTTTAGTGAGCACCCCTATTAACACCCTTAGACAAGTATTGGATCAGAATTTGAACGGTTGGATATTCTTAGGACCCTTAATCCTTCCTCCTCTTCATTGAAACTACAATATATTCTTGTGACTTTTCTAAAACCAACCACATAAGTAGTGATTAATCATACTTCCAACCTTCTGTAAGTAGGTTAGAATTTTGTTTTTATTGGGTTGATATGCGAAAAAAAAAATGCTACAAGAATCACCATTTAGGACTTTACTGTCAGTTTATATAACTATAAACTAGAGATTTTCAAATAGGACTTTTCTGTGCAATTCTCTTCTGTTGATGCAAAGGTTGCACAGAGAACAAATAGTATTCTTGAAACGAAATTCTACAAATTTACAGAAACAAACATTTATTCTCTTTTAGGGTTATGCATATAAAGCATTGATGGGTCCTTTTTTGTTTTGATTTCAATTATTTGTGCAAGAGCTTCTTTTGGACACAAACCAAGAGATTGGAACTTGGGAGCTGAAATTTACCCCTGAATATTGGGGGGAGGAATGAGCTTACTTGTCAAGTTGTTATGGGAATCTCATATTCTCATCCGTATGCCTTAGTGGAAGATTGATTCTTGGGTCGTTTGGACTTCACTAAACCATCCAACTAGCATTCCTACCCCTTATACCCCACCTTGTAATGGAGCTTTCCCCCTGTGGTAGGTACAAGCTGTCAGAAGTTTCATTGCTTTAAAATAATAAAAATAATAAAAGCCTCCAAAGAAGATCTTGTTATTGGCTTGTTTCCCAGGTGGTATCGGGTCTTAAGTTGAATTTTCCATTGAAAATAGGAGATGAGATGAAGGGTTCCAAAATTAGCTTGCCACGTGGAAAATCCATAGGTCGTTTAGACTTCCCCACAAATCACAATTCACAAGTAACTGAGACCTGAGTAGCAAATTCACTTGCATTTATATAAATATATTTCTATGCCCAGTGCCAGTTTTACGATGAAGACATCCTATGTATGTATGTAAAAGTATAAAACACAATTAGAACAATGGTAACTTTTCTTTTTTTTTGTAAATGAACAAAAGTAGGTTTGAGAATATATCCCTCTCCTAAGTCTTAGCCATATAGGGTGTGTTTGGTTCGACAGAAAACAAAAATGAAAAATAAAAAAAAATTGAGAGAGTTATTAAGAAATTTTAAAATTTTCATTAAAAACTTTCCTATCTTTTATTTTTTTATTATTTTTTATCAAACCAAACGTAACTGATGGTGCGCAATCCGGCCGGTCCTAACTGTCAACGACCTTGCTTTTGACTAGAGCAACAAGAGCCTGAAACGGAGAAGAAGGTGAAAAATCTCCGGGGAGGAACCCGGTGAGATTGCTCCGAAGCTCAAGTCAGTATTTCTTCAAAGGCAAGATAAAACCAGATGGCGCAAAGTTCACATACCTTGTTCTTGGGGGGTAGGGAGCCTTTTATAACCACTTCACGCACTCACTCCTAAGCTTCTGTCAAGTCGGGTATGATTATCTCTGTGCCCCTGCCAGTTCGGGTGTCCTCACCTCTGTTGGGGCAGAAC